TATCGATTCATCTCCATTGAAAAGCGGAATCAGTCCATAATGTGGACCGTTTAAATTAATGAAGGTTAGCCCATTATTGTTAAAGGTAAAATCTTGAAGACATTGTAACGAGTTTCACAAAAGGTAATGGAACCTTTACAAAACCATTCACTTATCCTTGTGTCCTATTTCTACACCATTCTCCCAAACACTATCATCTTATTCAAACTTAATTTTGCGGTCCGTAAATTTTATTATTACAACCCTATTTGATAGTATCCTTAGCTACCAACAAAAGTCACTGTTGTTTGCGTAGAATCGAATTGTTTTTGACAATTCTATACATACTCAACTCATTACCAGCCTTTTTTTTATTTTGGAACAGTAACAAAATATGTAACGCTTACGGTAGATATTATATATTGTAAATACTTTACAGCAATGTTTTCATTATGATCCATAATTTTATGTTATTGCCCGTTTAAACTTTACACTTTCAACATCAAAGTCAACTCAGACATCAAAATCTTTATCAATATGCTGCCGAAACGATAGAATATTATTAGATCCAATAATAATTTCTGTGTTACACTCTAAAAATACCTTGATAACTTCAAAATAATCTGTAGTAATTCTCTCAGAATTTGCCATAAAGTCTGACTGATAAGCACTTTCAAGTTTCGCCTAGTTCTCGTATGTCCTCGATTCTTATTATACCTTTAGTATTGATTGATTCGGCTTACGGCTTCAAAAGGGTACAACAATTTTCTCGCTAGTTTGAAATCATTTCGGAAAATTTTAATATAGTGAATTCCTTATCACTACCGTAAGTTCTGGGAATTCATAATTGGAGATATTTGTATTGATTTCATAACAGTAAGAAGTATGAATTGATTACTGTGGAATTTTATCACAGCCGCTCAAACACAGATTTGAAATGAATATGATTTAGCTTTATATATGTGTAAGTCTATATAGTACATTTTTGAGGGGTTATTAATTTATTATTATCATCATCTAAAGACTTCACCCAATCAAGGTAAGGTGAGAGGAAGTGTAAGACTCTTACTGACTAAAAACCTTCCCGTTCCTTGTCCTGCTCCAGACTGGGGCCGGCGGTATATATTGCACTTAATCCGTAACCCCAGCGAATATCGCCTTCAAATATTTTTGCAGCGTGCCTAAAAATGTTTTCGCATGTAAAATTTTTCGATAATCTTCAAATATATTTTGGATCAAATTAGTTTTCTGAACACTATTAAACCAATGGCATGGCTACCCAATTCCTTGATAATTTGCTTCGTTTTACAGCCAAACGATTTCGAATACTAAACCTGTATCGTTAAAATACACGCGACCTTGAAACTGCACATCTAATATTGCGTTCAGCAGTAAACTCTTTCTAACATTTATAAATCTAAATTTATACTGCTTTGAGACATTCATTTAAGTGTTTTTGTCAACTAGATCAATACATGAGCCACACACACGTGCCACCAAAATTAATTCGAAATTCGTTTGACTTGTTAGCTATAGAACGAAAATCATCTTCATAGAATTTTGCCAAGAAAATTTAGTCACTCGTTCACGAATCCCTTTCCAATTGATTTAATCTAAGATACTTCTAATTGGTTATCTAAAACTTTGGTATTTTGCTCTGAAGGTATATTAGGTGCCATTAAATCGTTCATTGACTCAAGTTCATGGGCCTTGGGCACATGATTTTTGCAATTACGGCTCAGAATGGTCCCAGTAGGGCTTTTAATCAGGTGCTTCGGTTGGCCTTCTTCCTGTCCTTCTATTACAGATCTATTTTGGCCTTATATAAATTGTTTTAAGGCTTTAATGTTGGACTAAAATAGAACACCTTTTAGAATATTAGCTTGCCTTACTAATAATATTATAATTCCAAAAGAAATGAAAAAGAAACAAAATATGTTGTTGTTAAACCTTTTGTAATTATTTTATGACGTAATACTGCTAAACATAGGACTCCACCAAAAACTTAAAACTCAACAACAACAAAACTTTGCCTAAGTAAATAAAATCTTCATTCACTTCACTTCATAATATAAACTCATATTTGCTTCTTTCTTTAAAGCTGCGAAATTACAACAGATAAACTTACAATTTTATTGGCCACTATTTATATCTTCCTATACCTTACACCGCCACAACATACTTGCAAGAACGTCAATATCATTAGTTATCGACGCGTTCTATTAATACCTCATTTATCTGCATTGTAGCAATCAATTACTTCCTCGCTCGAACATTTTACTAATTTCCTTTGATAAGACTTAATAGCACCTTAGTTTTGAAAGTTGCTGAGTGTTTGAACTTTAGTTGCTCCTTTGGGTGTAAGTTTAGTAGGAGATCTGACAGCCGTACGCCGAGTATTTTAATTCAAAGCCAAAGTCAAAGAATTTATTCAAAGTGAAAGCATTTACTAAACCATATACATACTAGAATGATGCGTCAGTCAGTTCGTCAGTGAAGCTTAAATAATTGTTTTCGAACCAAAATTGTTATAAAGGTATAGCCGGGTGTAGATCCAAGTGCAAAGATGTACCGCAGCCAGTTTGGCGAAGGATAAGAAGGGGTTTTTTTTAGGCGATATCGATACTTTTTCTCATCCCATCTCATCATCAGCCTATAAGTGTCCACTGCTGAGCAAAGGACTCTTCGCATACGGAGAAGGTTAGAGCATTAATCACCATGCTTGATCTCACACCCTCATGCATGAGAAGCGGGCTCTTTAACCTCCGGGCCACCACGACACTCATCCCATCTAAGGCGGCGAAAAAGTAATTGGCTAAATAACTAATTAAACCGAATCTGGTGATAAAATTCATTGCTTTTTTGCCTTGAAACTAAACGGAAAGAGCTAACGAGAACAAAATACAAAACTGCATTTTATTATAATGGCATCAAGTCATATTATTATGTTACGTTTTGAAAATGTATCGCATCCTCATTGGAAGTTCGTATAGTAATATTTTTTTACAATTTTTTCTTTAAAGTGCCTATAAAACGCCTCTGTGAGGGCGTGGGTGCGCACCCACTTCTGACACCATGTGATATGATTAAAAGACTTGGATCTTGGATACTTGACTTTAATAGCACAGTACACAGTCGGGCAGCTCACTGCACCAAAGTTACATTGTCAATGGCCGACACTCTCTCGGCTACCTTATTTATATTAAAAGGATGACAATAACATTGACAGTTCTTATCTACTAGTGCGACAATGATTAGTATTACTAATTACAGATAATAAAACACACACTTCCTAAAGATAAAGAAGTGTGTTTAGATTTTTTGAGTTCAGGAGTTTGTTTTCAGTGTAATAACGAGTAGACTAATATTTTATTAGATACATCTTCAGCTATTAAAGCAAAGTAATTTTTGCTTTTCTACAATTATGAAAAGTGGTTCGTGTTAAAATCTTTAGGGATTTCCGGGGATCGGATAGGGGATAGCGTATCACATACTAAGAATCTTGTAAAAAATAATTTCATTTTTAAATTTTTTGCTGTAATGTAAATCATACAAAGCTTTCTTGAGACCATTTTTTTCCTGCAAAACATATTTGTGATTTTTCAATGGTTAGATAAAAATTATCTACGGAATAATTATGATGCTGTCGCGTCAAAATGTTTGTATAAGACAGTGACAGCAACAATTTATCTGACTATTGAAAAATGAGCCCTAAATGAAATAAAATCATCGATGTAAAATTAAATCTTTGTTATACAAATTCAAATATCTTCTTCTTCAACAGATTTTGAATTGTTCACGTTTAATTTTATAAATTCCATTCACTCCCTCGAACGGTTTCAGATAACGCTGACCGGGATCGAACTCACTGACCTGTGTAGATGAATCGATTTATTTGATGTAATAAATGCTGGAATACCGGAATATCTCGACTGTTCGGCTGAACTACGTTTTTTACTATCCTACGATTGTTTTGTTTTCTATTTTTTCAGACAATACAACGATAGTACAATAGCTTATTTGGGATCATAAAATCTAACAATCATAAAAACAAAAAGTGCACAAAATTATAGTTTGAATTTTTGATATAGGTACTTTTTGTTAGTTATAGTACGGAACATAGGTACTTTACGAATATTAACTAGAATGTTATATTGTGTATTGAATGTTAATGTTAGTGTTAATGGTAAAAAATGTGTGTAAAAAGGTCACGTACCAAGATTCCTCGGATAACGAATCATAATTTGTTTATAAAAACGCTGAGAATAGATAGTAGTAGAATATATACTTTATTTTTGCTTAACTTTTACAAATTAATAAAATATATAAAAAAAAAACCTTAAATATTAAGTTCTTTATATTTTATCTCATCATAACATTGCCATACCAAGTTTGATGTAACTAACAACAATTAAAACCTAATTAATATATCCCAGTGTTGAGCAGTACTGCGGTTTGAAATTCATAATAATTACTTGGTAATGGTCGAATGCATCGCGAAGTGGGCTGGGCTATCATTAAGTGGTAGTTAGCGGGTGAATAGGCCAAATTAATAGCCGTAACCCAAATTGGTTTTTTTACAAAGCACTGGCAAACAGCGTTTCAAATTGGTGTTAACATCCCTTGTTTTACTTATGTAATAAATTGCCTTTTTGTGTTTTTGCTTGTAATCTTTTTATATTTTAAGAATATACATCGATCTGATGGTGGTTTCTATATAAACTTGCATGTTTAACATCGAAGAGAGTTGCGAAACTCCGAAAATTATAATAACCGAAGAAAACGTGAATAATAATTGGCATTCATCAATAATCATATTGGTACAATTAGCAATTCAATAGCTTTCATTACCCATTCTAAATTATTACCTATGTTTAAAGTAATGTTTTTTGTACACTAGCCAAATCTGATTACTGATTTTGGCTTGATCATTGTGACATTGGTGTGAGCGATCTAACCGCTTTGCTACTGATTAGGTTTGAATGTTAAAGTTAATTTAACTGTTAATATTCAAAACTCACCTTCACATGTCTGCCATGAGCTGAGAAGAACCTGCTGTCAGCACTATAGGTCACAAGACCGACTGACAGCAACGAGTAGTCTTTTCTTCGTATCCACGTTACCTAGAAGAAATTACTGGGTTACAATGAATACTAAACATGTTGTGTACCCACCACTACATATATTATGTAGCTATAAAAACCAGTTAATCATGATCCCTTTATGGTTTCCCTGTGCATGATCTTCCCGCACATTCAACGGTCAGAGTACACTGGTTTTTATACCTAGACATCTAGGTATATACTGTACGAGAAAAATTAAGCTTCATAAAACAGAGAGGAGTGTTAATAGTAAAAATATAAAGGAAAGAAACAAAATGTAGGCGTGGGAGAGCTATGTTTTGGCACAAATAGGCCGTCTCGATTGGAGTGATACTTGCGGCGTAAAACCACAAGAGCGTCGATTTTTGCTCTCCCTTCCATCTACAATCCCCAAATCCCCCATACTCAGATCCCCAACCACCAAAAGATTGGCAAAGCACTTTTTAGTCCTTTGGTGTTGCGGGTGTCCATGGGCAGTGCTCACGGTATCAGGTATGTTTTCTTCAATTACAGATAAAAAATGTGATCGTATCTTATTGATTAACATAATATGTTATATACAAAACAAGAAATTTGAAAATTAAATTTTCTCCTATACCACAGATGCGTTTACAAACATATAAACCTTCAAATCCCACTCACATAAAGAGTCATTTTGTGTGGGAATTAAACCCGTGATAATATGTCACACTGTAGCCGTTATCGGGCCACGTACCAATCGTGCAGTCAAATTAATAAAATAATTTTAATTAAATTTCCACTAAAAAGAATCAGTATAATAGCATACTACACGAACAGACTGAATTCAAAACAAAGCCCTTTTTTAGTAATTTTCACTTGAAAAGCAACAACAAATATTTCGGTTCGAGTTTTGAAACTCATTCAGGAGTTTACAAAGTTCTCTCTAAGTTCCATGCGTGTTTGTACTTCAGTTTTGTTACAAACTTTTTGAAGAATTCCGTTTTGATTGTTGCCACCGTACGTAGGTATAAGAGGGACTAAATTCTCTGGGAACTCGTTTAATAAAATACAATGCCAACTTTTACTTTCCTTTTTCAGGTTCGTTGAATTTTTGGTCAGTGTATTTTTCATAGCGTTGACTCGACCTCTGTGAGTAATGTGGCTTATTTGTCAGAAATGCTAGTGGACATGAAGCTCTGGGTATTTCCAGGTTATGACAAATGCGCAAATAAATAATTATATAACATTTTTGATTTCCACGATATGTGGGTGAGTATGTACGAAAGTTTGATTGAAAAATTCTCAGTTATAATGGAGTTTACAAAAATATTTTTTAAAACAATTAAAATATAAGTAAACAGGCGTTAAATCGGTGAGCTCAGAAGAGATCAAAAGGTATAATGTTGTGTATATTATATATCTGATATTAAAACTTACCGTGTTTTCGGTGATATCACTAACTTCACAATGCAGTATCGCCGTCGTACCTATTTGAGCTATAACTGTTGTACAGTTTTCTGTCAAAAATATACCAGCTTTACCGACTTTCCCACTTAATTTATTAACGGTTGAACCCGCTGAATCTCTGTACATTTTCTTAACTTTATTCATTGATTTTGATAGTGTACTCTCATCTAGTTCTTTTAAAATTTCTTTATCAGTAATTCTATCATGTTTACTGTGTCTTCCTCTACCTATAGTTACTTCATCTATAATGTTATTTATATTATGTACATCATCATTGTATTCTTTATCTAATAGGGAGGTGAGGCGTAGTGGTTTTGGTAACTTAGGATATGTTGTGAGAACATATTCTGTTGTGGTGTAGAACTCGGTGGGGTCTTCTCCGCTTAGTGTCGAGAAGTTAACTGTGGTTGGAGCTTGTGAGGTTGTTGTTGTTCTTCTTCTGTGACCTGTGAAAGAAATACGACTTTTATTTCATCTTAAATATTGTGAAAATTATGGATATCTGGCATGTTACAAATAGACTCATTCTTTTTTATTTTGAAATAAAAGGCCAACAAGTAGACGTGTCATCGACTGGTTGACCGCCGCGCCGTCGCAATACACATGCGTCAAAAAGCTTTGTTTTGAAGTTTAAATTTGTTGTTTTGTTGTTCAAATAATAAAAAAACAATAATTCTTAACGACTCCTGATCGATCGATTGATTGTTATAGATTCTCTTTCTGGACCTTTGCTTGAATATGATTCGGCTTTTACTACAACAGATACTCATATCTGCTCATATCTGTACAACCTTTTATTAAAAACAAAGGCAGAGGCAGTGTATGTATATTATAAAATCATGTGTGTCAGGAATAAATGTTTTGAATTTGTTTTAACTTTCAAAAGACCTTTATTTTTATTAAGTACTTAATATTTAACATGTTGACTTTTTACTTTAATAAAATTCAAATATTAACTCGGTTTCCAATTAAGTTGTATTTATATTGTTAGCCGCTACATTTTAATTATTGCTCCATACGAGCCTTGTGCAAATAATTGGATACAGAATACACTTGAAAATTTTCGAGACAGTAAACAACGATGTTTTTCTGCAAATATAACTTTATTTACTTTCACGTTAAGGTCTATTTTTGTATTTCATGTAATAATAAGTAAGTCTTCAATTTTGTAAACTCGCAAATATACGTTTTTAAAGTGTTTCAAAGTTATCGTCAATTGTGTAGGTATTTATTATTATATTATATATTTATTATTTACATTTTACATCTACGTAAGATGGGATTGATAGATTTTTAGCAAAAATAAAGTTACCTACTATAATTTTCTTTTGAATTTTACATTTCTATAAAATGTATTCGTCTATTATTCTTTTTACTTCCAATGAGTCCTGACGACTTCCATAATATAGAAACAGTTATCAGGTAAAATGTTGACTACTACACGTAATAAAAATTTACGTATGTAATCCAGAGTTGGGTGTTACCGCAATAATATACCGCGGCAGCAGTAGGAGGAATGGGGTGGTTACTGATTAAAAACAGTAAGAGTCTGATCCTTCCTTTAGCGGGAAAAGTAATTAGATAAAAACTCTTCATTCAAAAAAGTACTTATATTATTTAACAGCAAAAATCAAAATGGCCATAAAAGTTAATCGAAAATTTGGGCAGAAAATTGTTTCAACTGTAATTTTACGAAATTAAGTTGCTATACTGCGATACGTTCCCCAAAAGATAACATGTGACTTGATGTCGTTTTCCTTGATGTGGTAAGGCCTTTTTTTATTTTTATTCTTTACCTTTTTCTATTTAGTTTTAGGGCCAACTGGCAATGAATTTTATCACTAGATGTGGTAGACATGTGCGGTTGCCATTATTTTGTCATACTGCTAAACTCTCGGGACTTTTGAGTGACCATTGCCAGATCATTCAAGCTCATAAGTAAATATAAAAGAAGAAAATCTAAAGTGTAACTTCCTAATAGTTTTGTTTTATAAGTTTTCCCATTTCGATTTTTCAGCATAAACAGTCATGTCTGCTTGAAAAACGGCCTTGTTTACCCCAAATGACCTCTATAAATGACGTCATCCCCTTTATATCAGAGCCTAATAGCGCAACAGTAATACAAAGGCAGCCCCAGGTAATCCGGCTGGCAATCGGACCCGGATTAGTGGGTCGAACCGAACCGACGTGACCTACGAATATTTGCAGATCGATCAAAATTATGTTTTGATTGAGAAATTGAAACGTCACCGTTAATGGGTTTGCAAATATTCTAAATGGGTCAAGTAGACGTATGTGTTTTTTAGTGTAATTACAAAGCACCGGCTCTTTTGTGCTAGATTTTAAGGTATATAAAAGTGTTAATAGGTATTTGGTAATTAGCAAACCCAAATAATAGGGGATTGTCCTTGGGTGCACTTATATAGTGCATACAGGGATAACGGCCGGCTGATGTCCCATCACATTTAGATTAAAACTGTTCAACGGGCCTCTGCGAGTTGGCTTCGGCTCCTCGTACGCCTTCCAAAGGTCCGGGACCCTGTGGTCCCGTGAAAGGAAAGAAAAAGCACTAATTATGTGGACAAAATCACAACGAGAGAAAATGCATATAAAGTTCCTATTCATATAATAAAAACGATAAGTATGTAGATGATTTCATTAAAATTACTCAATAGACTTTGATGAAAAATAGTATTGACATAGATATGGTATGGAATAACATAATGCTAACCTGACTCTTTTCATCGAGGTGGATAACCTTGATGAAAAGTACCTGAATTGTTATTGCTTATCCAACAATTCAGGCTTAATAAAAGAGTATTTTTAATTTTTAAGTGTGGGAGAGCCATGCTTCGGCACGAATGGGTCGGCTTGACCAGAGTGATACCACGGCCTCACAGAAAACCGGCGTGAAATAACCACTGCGTTGTGTTTCGCCGTGTGAGTGAGGTTACCGGAGGCCCAATCCTTCCCCTTCCCCAATCCCTCCTCAATCCCTAAATCTCCAAATCCCTAATCCCTAAAAGGTCGGCAACGCACTCGTTCCTCCTCCGTTGCGAGTGTCCATGGGCGGCGCTGATTGCTTACCATCAGGTAATCCGTCTGCTCGTTTGCCGAGATATTACATAAAAAAAAGTATTTAAGAAGTAACGCAAACACCTAAAAGCTGGGAAGCTTCCCAAGAATCTCCGTACCGATCCCGTTACGTCACCCAGCACTCCAATGTTCCTGACTGGGATGACATATCGCCCTTACGAAGTACGACTATGTCCAACAACTTACCTACTTATTCTTATTAGTAAAATTCGAATATCTTAAAATAAAATAGTAGTAAAATCTTTGATCCGATTTGAACTTCTTGACAGATCAGCGACAGCTAAAGAAGATTGGGCAAACTACTGTGGCACTTGGTGGGGATCTCTTTTTTGGCAAATAGTAGGTATAGTAGTGAAAGTTGGACACAAGTTATGGCTATTGACATATTTCATTAAATTAAAACAAATAGGTATTTTGCCGGCAAAAATTTAATAATAAATCCTAAAATTGTTAAAAATAAAAACTCACTTCACTTCACTTTTTTTATAATAAAACGCTAAAACAAATTAAAAATAATTACCTTAAATAAGATTTGTTGAGGTGACCATAAGTTTCGAAAGCCGAAACCAAGAATGCCCAATCTCCTTTACGATTTACCAATACTTTTGTTTTTTTTTTTGCGCATAAATTAATAGACACAACGATCACGAACATGGATGACGATGATAAAAAGCAATGTTACTTTGTCTAAGGACCCAGGTTAGTCATTGTATTATTTACATACTTATTATGTATGGGGAAAGCTGGTAGAAGATGCGAGTAGTTGTTTCATAATCATCATGCTTGTTACCAAGAAAAACTCATTGTGTGATGCACTAATTGTTACTCTGAATCTGCCTGTGGTGAATGTAAAATTGTGTGTTTTTAAACGCACTCACAACACAGGAGAGATTTTTTTTTGTGGCTGCCCCGCATTGCGTAAAAACAGAGAAGAGACGTAACAAACTTTTTGCTAGCTTTACCTGTGGTTGTTTAAGTCTTTATGTGTGTGTAACACTAATGTTTTAGATTCAAATCGTGCCTCTTCAGCCAGATTCTAACTACAATACTTTTCAAATATAGTAATTATTTAAACACAGACAAAGTTCAAAATTGTATGCCTGTAAGTATAGATGTACCAGATGAAATAAAAGCATGACTCAAACACTTCCAAAAACTAATATACATAAGTACGCATATACCTAGTTTGTTCCACAAAAAGAAGACGTAATATAGAATGACACTTTATTTACCTTTGTATAAAGGGAAATGAGCCCTAGGTTCTATATTTAGCCAGTGAAAGTCAAGAATTTTGCGTGTGTAGTATATGTTTTGAGTCAATGCTTGCTACAAAAACAGATAAATACGTAAGAAACCTATAAACAAGTTATACAGATATTTCAATAATAACTGATATTAACTTAATATTTATACGATTGCTTTTATTCAGTACTAATTTCCTAATAGCATATTTCAAAAGCCATATTTATAAGGAGCATCTTGTAAAGTTTGTCCAATTAACTTAATATAAATTACTTACCTTAATAAAATTATAAGCTTTAATTTAATTGTAATATTTTTATGTGGTAATAAAAACAAAATTGGGGTTACAATAATTCAGGGTATATAACATGGTTTTTTATAGGATTACTAGCTTTTTCCCGCGACTATGTTCGCGTGGAATAGTGACTACATGCAGAATTTTGGTTTAAAAACGTTTAAATCCTATGTCCTTTCTCGAGTTCCAAACTATGTTTGTACCAAATTTCACACAAATATTGGTTCAGTAGTTTAGACGTGAAGAAAAGACAGACAGACAGAGTTACTTTCGCATTTATAATATTAGTTTGGATTTGGCAAACAAGTTATTCTCTTGATGGTAAACAATCAACGCTGCCAAAGGAAAATCAACCCTTTGTGACTTAAAGGCGAAACACAGTGCAAACATTGCTTCTTGTGGAATTACTCAGGTTAGGCTACCCCAATAGTGCCGAAGTTTGGCCCTTGCATACTTAATGTGACATGAATTATGAAACTGCTTCCAAACCCAATCAGTTTGTGGTGGATGTTTTTTATGGAATAGGAGGCAAATGAGCAGACGGATCACCTGATGGTAAGTGATCGCTGCCGCCCATGGATACTTGCAGCATTAGAGGAGTCATGGGCGCGCTCGTTTCTTGGAAGTTTGGATACTCAAGAATTGAAAATAAAAAGAAACCCTATGTAACTGACTATTGGATAACTTCAGAAAAAAAGAACAACTCAAACCTTCTTAGCATAGAAGAAACACAAATAATTAGAAACGTTTACTGTTAATAGTTATTACGGTAACTTCTAGAAACGACTACGTTGTAGGTGCTCTGTAGGCAATATTGGCATACAATGAAATATAAATAACCTTTACAAACGTAGGTACAAGTCAAACACAATAATTGCTGAATGTTTACATATACATAGCTCAGTAGCAGGAAGTAGTAAATTATTATATACAGGTTGAACGTCAAAGAAGGAATCTATATTGGAGAATTGTGTGACGCAGTAGTAGTACAAGATGTTATGTAACGTCTTTTTATTTCGGTCCCATTTTTGCCAACAGGGTTGTGCGTAGAATTTAGACGATTTCTCTCAAATGAATCCCAATACTGTTAGGTTATCGAGGGAAAAAGTACCAGTCGTCAAAAAAAAAGAATCTTCAAAGGTTTCGTTGGTACTTAAAATCAAATCAGTTAGTCCTACATTCTTTAGTATCATTTATCTTAGTAAAAACCTAATCCTAGCTTTTCACCCTTTATACGACAAAAAGTTGGTTTACAAATTTTGTCCTTAACTCAGCACAAGTAAAGGTGAAATTTGAACACCAATTTTGTTGGAAAACACCGTTCGTTATAATATTAAAGCTAATCATTGCTAGGCCATTATTATGCCACTTACAATCTGCACCAAGCATATTCCATTTCGTTGCTAAAGAATTTTCATCTTTAACAAATATAACAATACGTTCTATATTTGTATCCAGCGCAGTATACTGTGTCACTAGGTCGTGTAGTTCCTGTTGGATACCGCAGCCTCGATTCTCATGAGACTAGTGAGCGATTAAGGGATTCTATTAAGTGGATAGATTGCATCATTCAATTCTGGGTCGATCACATTGCTAAGTTACGACATAGGGATACTTGTGGTTTTAATATTGTTGAAATTACATCAGTTACTCCTAAAAATCATTTGAGAGGGTCAACCAACTATTGGTCATCAGCTGAATATGTTTTTATGATCCGCAACACCGTGAAGTGCATTGTTGGCCATTTGGGGTTCAGGGATTTGACGATGAGGTGGTTACGGGTGATAGGAAAGGATTGAGCCTCCTATTACCTCATTCACATAGCGAAACACTAAGCGAGTTGTTTTACGTCAGTTTTCTGAAGTATGTCTGCTTCGAACTTACACCATACATACCTACCTCGATTATTGGAAGCTTAGGAGTTTCCTGGAGGTCAACAAATGAATTTCTACATTTGTTTCGTTTAGTATACACCATTATTGTGAAGAAATCCTTTGTCTAGTAACCTGCTTGTTACTCAGAAAAAATTAAACACCGTAAATTATTCAATATTTTTTATTTTAGCAGAAAACCTAATTGGTCAATATTTTTTCTAATTATTTGGTAAAGTCACTCTTATTCATTTTCTCTGATTGTTCGCTTTTAATTAAACCTTTTCTAAACAGAACACTCGAAAACTAAATGCAATTTGTACAAAATAAGAACATCACATCTCCGAGATTACTAAATTAAAACACTTTTCATAGACATTCTATTCGACAAATTCAATAAAAGAATGATTATGCATCAAATTAAAATACCAAGAATATTTTTTTAATCTTAATTTAGTTTCATTTATGAACAAGTCTAACGTACGTCTAACCTCGTTTGCAGAGCTCAGAATGTCCACTTCTATGTATGAAGCATTATACCTATATAAATAAGCACCACCACACCCGTCAGTTACGATAAAATCTTTTCTAGAATTTTCCGCAATTCTGCGGATTTTGGCTTGAAATTCAATATGGCGGAGTATTGGGAAGTGCCTAGTTGTTGCTAGTTATTTTGTTTGCTTGAAAACTCTGAACTGGACTTTGTATTTGCGTTTCGTGAAACCTTTTGTGAAGGATAAAGTTTTTGGAGGAATATTTATTATTGAAAATTTTGAATGTTCTATGGGGAGGAAAATATTACTAACTCATGCTTAAAAAGTATACAGGTAAAGTGTAAGTATAACTTAAGTACGTACATAATAATGAGTTAATAGACTTATTGGTCTTGCTGTCGGGTTTTTGGAGTTGATGTTAAATAATTTTTGGGTAGTAAAAAGGTTTAAAATTAATAAGAGTTTTCATTTAAAACCAGTCGCTAAAAAGGTATCAGACGGCATAAAACGTCTTTTATTGGAGGCGGATACTTCATCAAATGACTTCTCCCGCCTTGAGTGGGGTGAGAGAAACTGGTCTGACTCTCACAGACTAGAAACCATCTCGTTCTTTCTTCAGCTCCAGGCCAGCTGGCCAGGGTTGTGAACACATTCAAAAGACGCTCACAATGATTTCAGATGGTGGAAAATATAGTGACAAAACCGATTTGCTTTTAAAAATTTTAAAACTATTAGCTTAGCTACATCCATTCTTTGCGTTTATGAAAATATTGCATCTTAAGTCCAAAGGCATAAATACCATTTTCTCCTTATCTTAATCTTAATTTTGGACTTCGTTTTCAAAGAAGGCAGCATGAATATATTAACTGTATGTACAATTCTTCAGTATTGTCCCATGGTTTTGTATAATACACTGTTTTTTTTTTTCATATTCATGCAGTTATTAGAAAATGTTTGAGTTACACCAACGATGTCCCTTGACAAATCCCATAGAGAAAATAACAGAACTTTAAGACTTCAAATGGTTTGAGAAATGGTTGGTTTGAAATATGTATTACTTTATTGTAAGTTTGTTTATTATTGTTAGGAGTTAGTTTTAAGTTTCAGATAAACTAGATAACTTGCATTGACTTTAAAAATGCTCTTAATCGTTTAGAGAAATAAATAATAATGGCATTAAAATAAAATATTTACCTTTTTTGTGATGTCTCGTGAAGTTCCCAAACACACTACCAAGCCGCTGTTGGTTCCTTGTAGTGCAAAGCTCCAACGATTTCAAATCGTCTGCATTCTGAGAAACCAATATGGAAGACCTCTTCGACTCCATAGCACCCGTATTTACTAGCAACTCGGCTTCAAGTAACAGAACTATAGTGGCGTAGAGTAGTTTGAGTTCTCCACAGCAAAGCATTGTTTTGGCACTGGTTTTGTGGTCACATTTGCAGTATTTCACATGGTATACTTAAATTAATAGTCATTTTAGGCACTGTTATCTTCTTCTGTTCACTTTTTGGAGTTTTGAGGAGTGTTGCATTCTGGAACAAAGAAATTTGTTTTGTTAGATTTGTTTGTCAAGAAAAAACCTTTTTATTAATGAAAGTTTTTTATTCAGGGTCCAATGAAAAAACTTGGAAAAAGGGACGATTATCGACCTGAGAGATTCTGAACTCATAAGAAAAACAAAACAAAAATTTTAAAATCGCAATTTGAGTAAACGTGACAAGCAATATCTTTTATTTTTTTCTAAAAAAAGAATTTTATTCTCTCACTTCGAATACAAAATAATAATTATGGCGTAGTTGCAACGAGATTAATATAGCTTTAATCCATGAAGGTGCGAATCCGAAACATGTCAAGTACCAATATGATATTACCGAGTTACATGCACTTCCTTAAATTATAGATATCACTTATACGGTGAAAGAAAACATATTGCTGATACATCTTGATTATGAAATCGCAAATCCACCTTGATAAAGGGTGGTGATTAATGCTTAAACTTTTTACGTGTAAGAAGAGGCTTTTGATCAGCAATGTGAGGTAAAGAGAATATCTATACTAATATTATAAAGAGGTAAAATTTGTAAGTTTGTATGTAGGAGGTAATTCTTACAACCGCTGGTCTGATTGCCAAAATTGTTTCACTGATAGATAGCTACAATGTTCCTGAGCGCTATAATAGGCTATAAAACATCACGCTACGATTGAAGGAGCCGAGCAGCGAGGGAAACCGCGCGAGAGTAGCTATTTTACTATATTATTTTCCCTTTTAGCCGTCATTCGTGCACACGTCTTACAAGATACAAGCGAAAAATTTTCTCAAGGAAAAACATCGGTAAAACAATCCTAAGACAATATTAATATGGTATCAATACCACCAGTAAATAGATGCTATCTCGAATAACAATCAGCTATATTTGTACACAACATTAATATGATCTAATTAGTAGAACAAATACTGTTACAAGATTATGTTGTAATAACCAATACTAATGAACTGAATGGTGATCCTCTCAGTTGTTATGTATTGAGAGAAGTAAGTTAAAGAGAAATTTATTTATTTTTTGATGGTATGGGAACAAGATGGCCGCTTGAAAAAGTCGTTTTAAAACTTGTACAGCGCATTCTTAAAGATTTTCTTAAATAAAGAATAAATGAATTGATATCCCTTTAGGTTACTTGTAGACTAGCTTTTGCCCGCGACTCCGTTCGCGTGGAACAGTGGCTTCCAGCAGATTTTTGGTATAAAAACTATCCTATGTCCTTTCTCGAGTTCAAAATTTCACAGAAATCGATTCAGTAGTTTAGGCGTGAAGAAAAGACAGACAGACAGACAGAGTTACTTTCGCATTTCTAATATTAGTATAATATAGATAGATATATGTAGATATAGAGGAAGGGTTACCGTTTTTCTGTTCACAAAATGGCGCTTATTTCCTTACTAACAATACTCTATATGTTTCAAACTAATTTATTGTTTATATTTTAATGTGTATAATAATTATCTGATCCTCCTAATGTGACCATATTTTCACATTGTTGTTATTGTATGTAATATCATTTATTTTATCTTTTCATAATGTTCAATGATGCCTGCTTACTGGACAGTGACTTTGTGTTACCATACGTTTACCATAAAGCCTCTTGTATCACCAAAAAGCACTCCAATAAACACTTTGACTTTGTGTTTCTATGGGTTGATTTTTCAATGGTCAGATAAAAGTTACCCGGGGAATAATTATGATGCTGTCGCGTCAGAATGTTTTTTAAGATAGCGACAGCAATAATTTTATTCCTTGCATAACATTTATCCGACTACTGAGTACCGTGCCTTTGACTGCACGGTTGGTGCGGTGGTTGGGCAACTGGCTGCCATGCAACGTGTCGCGGGTTCGATTCCCGCACGGAACAACTCTTTGTGTGATCCACAAATTGTTGTTCCGGGTCTGGGTATGATGTGAATGTGAATTTGTATGTTTGTAATCGCACCCACGACAAAGGAGAAAATCCTAGTGTGGGGCAACGTTTTTTCAAAAGAAGAAAAGGAGAATTGAAAAACCAGCCCTTAATGTGAAACTACTAGAAAATTAATTCTTTGACATTTATAGCGATTTGAAAAATAAGACTGAACGTTTCTGTCTGGCGACCACTAAAGCGTATCGTATTCTTTATATTTATCACAACCACTTTGATCATAACTCCAAAAAATACTAGTTTTCCATGGACATCAATATCATGTGGGAGAGTTCAAGTTTAAGAATAATTTATCAATCCTCAAAGCAATCACGACCTTAAGACCTTTTGTTCCGGATGGTTATAGGCTGCTCCGACGGTAATTTAACGAACCCGATACCTAGATTGAAAATCGATACATCTTTATAGCTTACCAAGAACCGATTGTAAGACCTTCATAGCCAATACTGGGTTGAAAACGCCTCCATTCTATTTCAAATTAAATCGATACACTGAACAATCAAGTATTTAGATATTAAAGCCTACAATTTGTTTGTTTCTTCGAATCTTCGAATGATGTCAAGGATTTAGTTTGAAAATTTCTGTTCCTGTAATACAATGTAAGTAGGTAAAGTAACTTTTTAGATAAAATTCAGTATTTTTTGCTTAAAGTAATTACAAAACAGTATCTAATTTATTATTTTATAAAAAAAAACCTTGTAGTAAAAATAAATTATAGATGGTAAAAACGTGGAAGAAAAACAAACAATTCATATAAAAATGACCTTATATCTATTCTAATTCAAGCGCTGCTTAAAATAGATCGTGGGAATAAAAACAATTTGTGTTTTATTTTTAACTTTTTTACACATTCTTTATTTTGTGTATGCGTAATATTTAATTCAAATAAAAAAAATCTAAAAAGTATAACATTGTGACTTTATTGTAAGTGGGTCGAGGTTGGCACATAGTTGTTATTGTGATTTGAGTGGATATTAGTCTATAATTTTTAAAGTGATAGATAGATAGATAGATAGACAGTCGTAGGAATCTGATAAACCGAATTTCGCAAAAATCGTGGTGGTCCGAAGGCTAAGGCATCTCATGTTCCTATAAGGGTGCAGGGATCGAAACCTGGAGAATCATTGTGACCTTTTCCGAGTTATATGTACTTTCTATGATTATTTAGACACCACTGACAAACGGTGAAGGAAAACATAGTGAGGAAACCTGAACTTACAATTTTTTATTATAAGTTTGAGATCGCCAAGCCGCCTTGAGCAAGCGTGGTTATTAATGAAACTCAAACCTTCTTCGTGTGAGAAGAGCCCTTTGCTCAGCAATGGACAGACTGATGATGATGATGTGATATGAAATACCCGAATTTGAACCGTACATCGTGTTTCAAAAACATCATAGAAGAGGAACGAACAACCGTTTACTCCAATTTAATACTTGCTGTATAAAAGTCAGAATTCAAAATTGGCAGTCTGCAGTATATTTGCAATCGAGTCCTGTCAAATGTTGACCCCTCTATTGTTTGATGAAAGGCATATCCGTCAACACGGCTTGTGACGTCAGATTTCAGTAGTTGTATAGTATGTCTCATGTCAGATACGCTGTATAAAATGTTTTTTGTTTGTGAATTTAAAACACAATAAAAATTCATCTTTTTCGTATTGTAACTTTGATTTGAACTGAATTCGACATATTTTGTTGTCTTTTTTTTGGTTTTGTTAATTTATTATGTAAGAGTTTATGTTATGGTCGTGTTTAGCCTAATGGCTGAGTCATTCTGCAGTTGTCCATTCTAATTAAAATGGACAACCAGTTATCCATTCTGGACTTTTTTAATGCAGTCTCATTATTTTCACTTAGCCGTAGTGGTGGGTCAAACGCGATAATGTACCTTCCCCGACATCGAGCAGGAGAAGAAAAAGCATCGTTTTTAGCCAGTAAGAGTTTGACGATCCCTCTTGCCCTACGCACACAGAGAGACAGAGGGAGAAAGAGAGAGAGAAAGGGATGGTATAAGACTAGGAAAATAATTATGTCCTTAATTTAAAGAAACATATTCCTGTCGATTCTACCTGATCCATTATGTGGAGCTTTTATCAAAAACCAAACATTAATATTACATTAATAATTGGCATTGGATTTTATGTGGACTCGCAGAGTATACTAATATAAAAAATAAATTAGGCCGACAGTAAAAGTCTGGAACTATAAAAGCAGTCATAATTCTAACTGTCTTTCATGTTTAGTATTCCCGTCACACACATGTGTAATGACCCATTTGGGCGCCATTATTAAAAAAGTACACACACGAAAAAAGCATTTGGTAAAAATAATGTCAGAAATAAACAAGCAAGTTTGTATTTAATATCTGTTTGGAATAAATATACTTGGGTTTGTTTTGATATTCTAATAATGAAATATTTATTCAAACTATAAATACATATATTAAAATTTGATGTGAGAACGTATACAATGAACCAATGGCATCAACCAAGCAACCAAAATAAGGCAATAAATGTAAACTACCTCATAAAGTATTATTATTTCTTTACCAACACCGTAGCCACTCCAAACCTTGTATTTGATACGCATTTAATATTCATATCACACGTCAATATTACACCCTATTCCAAAGCCATTAGACACACAATAACGATAAACAAAAAATATCTAAAAGAGGCTATAATAACACAACTGTCAGTATCGAAAAATGAGCGCCAGAAATAAAATAAAAAACGTTCTAAAACTGCAAAGGAACACAATCTAGATTCTTATCAAAGTCGGAAGCAACATCTTTGTAGAAAAAATTGTCCGATGTTGGGAATATCCTCATGAATAATTCATGTTCGGTAGTAAGATGAGGAAATACGAGTCAAACATATTCGAGTGCCATTTCGTGCGTGGTACAACTCGGGTATGTGTACAGTCGGGTAAGAAAACAAGGGATCGGTCCGCACCGTACTATGATATTTTTTTACATACTAAAAGGGAAAGTGGTCGTTTTTGGATTGCACGTCAAACACACGGACACGTCATAGCGAAAGGTGTCTCCTGTATAAACAAAAAAATGGGGGCGCTGTCAAAATGTATAACGAGGTTGTTTTTCTTTGAAAACGTGTGTAGAGAAACATTAGAACACTTATCATTCTGTTGTAAGGTTAAACCTTCAATAATACATTTTCATCATTTTTCGACAGTGATACATAAGTGTGGAAGAGCCATGCTTTGGTCGCACGAATGGGTCGACTCGCCTGGAACTCGTCACGGCCTCACAGAAAACCTGCGTGAAACAACCACAGCGTTGTTTTGTCGTGTCAGTGAGGTTCAGAGGCCCAATCCTTCTCCTCCCCCAATCCCTAATCCTTTAAAGGTCGGCAACGCACTCCTAACTTCTCTGTTATTGCGGGTGTCTATGGGCGGCGCTGACTGCTTACCATCAGGTAATCCATATTTTCATTTGCCAGACTTATCATTTCATAATAGACTAGCTACTCCCGCGAGGTTCCACTCGCTGCTTGGCTCCATTTGATTGTAGCGTGATGTTTTATAGCCTATAGCACTCGGGAACATTGTAGCTATCAATAAGTGAAAGAATTTTGGGAATTTGACCAGCAGTTCCAAAAATGACCCCCTACATACAAACTTACAAATTTTACCTCTTTATAATATTATAGTATATTAGTATAGACGTGTCGAAAAGATCTTTCAAAAATCCTAAGTTCGCTTTGAAACCCCATCTCGAATAAAAAATACTTTAATAAATTAACTGTTACATAAAGGGTACTTATATGATACTTTTTATTGTTCCCCTGCTAGCTTAAACTCGTAAATAAGGCCTAATGTGACGCTGCACTTAAAGATGAAACTACACTGGACGACCAAGAACATTTATACAAGGCATGCATCATAATATTATTACGTTTTATTTATAAAAAGAAGAAAAAATATTAAGACAATTCACACATTTAAAAGTGAGTGACAAACCATATTATTTATAATCTTTCTGACCTATTGGAACTCTTCTAATGAAGATATTTTTGTATAATTTCTGAGTACTACTAAGTTGTGTAAGGAGGATAGTCGTCTTCCAGATAACTCTAATTGGTATAAAACCTTATTCATGCTACTGCCTTAAAAAATGATTCATACTAATTGTGACCATACACTTTTAGTGATAACTAGCTCTTACGCTCCCGGCATTTGACTACCTATCCTGCTCTACCTACCCTACACTACCTACTCTACAGCTCTACATTTCAGCCAACAACTAACACGAATTTCTTTGATATATATAGACAATGATAGCTAGTTCAGTAATGTATGTATTCATAATAAATATTTAAATTAGAACAACATTTAACAAATACAAATAAAATGCCCTAAAAAATATTTTAATCATCTAATCTTAAGGGCGATGTCGTTTTTCGTGCTAAAAGGATAATCTTGTACTAAAGAAAGACATTTATCTTTTAAGAATTTTCGTTTCGGTTTGTTAAAACAATTTCACGGTCGCTTCATTAAGTGTCTTAGTGAACTGGAGTTGAAACAACTGACCAAGGTGACCGACACACCTACAAGAAAATCGAATGAACTTTTAAACGAAAAAGTTGAAGTTTGAATGTAAAAAATATTCAAACTAATATTATAAATGCGAAAGTAACTTGATCTGTCTGTCTGTCTTTTCTTCACGCCTAAACTACTGAACCAATTTTTGTGATATTTGGTAGAGACATAGTTTAGAACTTGAGAAAGGACAGAGGATATTTTTTAAACAAAAAATCTGCAGACGTTCACGATTCCATGCAAACAAAGTCGCGGGCAAAAGCTAGTTGTTGTACATTTACCGAAAATAGGTTGAAGTGATTTTAATCAAATGTAAAAAAACTGTTTTTGTCTTTTGTTTTATGACTTGATCAGATGCACATATATTGGCTTTTATTGTAAACAATTATAGACTACACAAAGTTACAAAGAGTTACATAAACTACTAAATAAACAGTTTGACTTAAGATTTCTAGTTCAGCGGTCATTCTGGCGACTTTTCCAAATATAAAACTTTTAATAGCACAGTCGTTGCCTTTTTAGGTGTCCATTTGACGTCTCCTTAGAGATTTCACAACCCAATATAAAGAAAATAACGTTCTTATTACTTTCTACTGCTTACAACGTATTCTTGAAAAACAAGATGTTGAGTAAGAGGTATTTATTAGGTTTTATAACTTCTAAAATAAGGACGAAATTGGACTAGTTTTTTATTAAATATGAGTTTTATGTTATCCTATTTTGACACTATCTAATAAATTAAAACATACATTAAGTTTTAGTAGACACTTTTCTAATACAACGGCTTCATTAAAAAGGAAAAATAGAAAGCTTAAAAGATGATTTTGGCTGTTTTTAGTCAATAAGAGTCTGAAATTCTCTCTCGCCTTACCCTGGGCGCGAGAAGAAGTCATATGATGATTTTCCCCGACAAAAAAGGGATGAATTCATGAGCTTGAAAAAAGTGTATTTTTTTAAAGACTGACAATAGAGTTTCTTACTCGGTCTTCTTCATTCAAATCTACACATTAGCACAAGCACCTAGCTTCGCTGACAAACAGACTGACAAACTATTATACTCTTTCATCGTTTCAAAACACCTGTTAATGGTTGGTAAATATCGAACACTACTGTTGTACATTTACATTGTACATATATCCCCTTCCTCTTGGACCGCGAAAGCGAACGGACGTGTATACCGTAACAGTGCTTTGAATATTTTTCTTTAAATAAAATTAATTCTAGCATAAAATTAAATCGCCACAAAAATCACAAAGTACTAGGCGCGCATAATACGGCGGTGGTGCTGCTAAGACTCGGAGCAATAACGTGAGCAAGACAGCAATAGACAAGACAATACATAGCTAAGCTACACCTGCGTGTGCGTGAGTCGGCATCTACTTAGCTTGCCATTGAACAGTGACCAATTATATAGAGGGGTCAAGTAAGGCTGGCGGATAGAAAAAATGTACTAGATCCTCGATCGGCGACCAGTATAGTGACCCCTACGCTCTTCGCTTCGGTAAAACCTCTTCATAAGTATTGGAAGCCTGGTACCTCTGCTCCGAGTGAACCATCCAATATGTCTCATCAGCGCTCCCCCCCACCTACCTCACCCGCTCTCGCGACCGGCCCCACGCTCTATGAGGTATGTGCTCCTGAAATATGTGAATCGGATACTGCATCTGAGAGAAGCTGTAGCAGAAATGTCAGCGTTAGAAATAAACGTAGACATGGTGATGATGACATCAAGGAACTCAAGGGGTTGATCTCGTCTCTGACATCTAAGGTAGACCAAAGCTTTCTGGAACTCAAACAGAAAAATACAGAACTTAAAGAAAGTCTACAGTTTATGTCAGACAAATATGATTTAATTCTCAAAACACTTCAAAACCTACAGGAAGAGAGAGCAGACGATAAGAAGACCATTCAAAAATTAGAAGAAAAGATTGAATTCCTTGAGCGTAAAAATAGGTCGACTAGCTTGGAGATAAGAAATATACCAATCTGCTTGCAAGATGACAAGAAATTCGAGTCGAAAGAAGATGCAAGTTTGATAGTAAAAACCTTGGCGAAAGCTGTCGAGGTAGATATCCAAGACTGTGACATAAAAGATATATACAGAATCCAAACAAACAGAGAAGGCAGTAAACCCATTATAGTTGAACTGAACAGTGTCCTAAAAAAGGACAAAATAGTGCTAGGGGTCAAGAATTACAATAGGAAGAAACCAAATGAAGATAAATTAAATACTAGACACCTCAATATACCCGGACCTGTCAAACCTGTGTACATATCAGAAGCCCTAACACCTAACGCGCAGAAACTATTCTATGCAGCTCGACAGTTTGCAAGGGAAAATGGGTACATGTACTGCTGGACCTCCCATGGGTCTGTATTCCTGCGTAAAGCTGAAGGTGAGCCTCAAACTCGAATCGAATCTGCAATAAATCTGAAACTCTTAGCTAAAAAATGACTACCCTGTACGAACCATCACAATGTTGTTTCTCACTGTTTTTTCATTACACACTATCATTATTTTAGGTTTAGTATTACACTAAATTATATTGTTGCCTCGCTTGTTACTTGTATGATGTATTTAGATAGTATAGTTATCCAATACTTAATAGTTAATTGTTACTTATATCCAAAAGTTCTTGCAGAATCTGTCATACTCAGTATTTCACTGTTGTGTGATATGGTTTACCTGGTAATCAACCATAATTTATCTAATTACCCGAATGAAACATCTTTTGTATATCACAATGCAACACAATTACAGTTAAACGTACAAAACTTACACACCAAACATTCCAACAACCCATTTATTAACACATTACATTACAAATTACAAATTATTAATTACAAATTCTACACTAAAGGGCTTACACAAACAATACACTACAGCACAAACATAAACTGGTCATCAATATTTAAACTATAAATTCGATAAGGATAACTTAAACAAATTTATCGATTCTGTAGAATCATTTAACATTTCACGCTCGTATGAGTGCTTGCCGGACCAATGCCTGAAGTATATAAACACTACCAAACCAACTTTAAACATACTACATGCTAACATCCGAAGCCTAAACCACAACTTTGATGGACTCAATGTTTTACTACATTCCATGGATGTCAAGTGTGATGTAATAATCCTCTCTGAGTGCTGGTTGAGCAAGGTGATAGATATTCCTGTAATAACTGGCTTTGCTTCATCTAGATCCTCATTCAACAATCAAAATGATGGGGTGGTAGTTTATGTAAATTCTGATTTGACTCATAAGCTAGTTGAGCCGGTTTTCCAGGACGCAAACTGTCTTATTTTGAGGCTAGGTTTGGATACAGCCATTGTTGCAATATACCGTTCGCCCTCAGTCAGAAATATACAAAATTTCCTTAATTCCTTAAACAATATCTTAGAGCCCTTGGGGTCAACTACAACTGTGTGTGTCCTTGGAGATTTAAACATAAATATTCGGCCTGATAATAATGACCCAAACTCTGAAGAATATTTAAATACAATGGCTTTTCATGGTCTCCTACCTGCCCACGTTCTCCCCACTCGCATGGAAAACTGCCTAGATCATGTCTTTTTAAAAACAGATAAATCCTCCACAACCTTGGTTCTAGAATCATATTTTACTGATCATGCACCTATCCTATTTTGTACTGAACGAAGCCCTCTCTATGTTACTAAACCTAAAAATATGATACGGCATTTAAACTTCCCAGGTATTATAAGCAGCTTAGAAAACTCTGATTTCTCAAGTGTCTTAAGTAGCACAGATCCCAATCAAAGTGCAGAACAACTAATCTCCATAATATCAGATGCAATAAATCAAAACACTACCTTAAAAAAGTCGGTAATAGGAAGTTGACCATTAAACCGTGGATGACCACTGGCCTTCTGAGGTGCGTGCGAAATCGGGACCAACTCCATAAAAAATCAATGCAAAACCCTAAAGACCTTACTGCCAAACTAATATATTCTAGATACCGAAATTACTGCAACAATTTGCTAAAGACTATTAAATCAAATTTTGATCGAGAAGCACTTCAGAGGGCAAACGGTAACCCCAAAGCCACCTGGGACATCATAAAAGCTATTAGTTACAAGAACACTTCTCCCATAAGTAGGGCAGGAGAACTCCTTAATATGTGCAACGATCCAAACTCCTCAGTTAATACCATAAATAGGTATTTTGCGAACGTTGGAACGGATCTTGCGAGGCAGGCTGCGCAGGGTCAACCTAAAATTTGCACAAACTTTGAATTCAGTAGTCTAATAAATCCTCAAGGAAACTCATTCGTTCTACTTGAAACGAGTTTCTCAGAGATAGAAAATATAATCATAAAATTAAAACATAATTGTGCAGTTGGGCACGATGGGATACCAGCCTCAGTTATTAAGTCTGCCAGACATGTACTTGTTCCAGCAATAACGCATATTTGTAATTTATGCATTGTAAACGGTATTTTCCCCGAAACTTTTAAGAAGGCATTGGTCACGCCAGTATTTAAGGGTGGGGATGGTGACCGTGTCGAGAACTATAGGCCTATATCCGTACTTACCACACTGTCCAAAATTATGGAGAAGGTTCTGAACAAAAGATTGCTGAGCTATCTTGAATCTAACAACATAATTGCGCCAAACCAGTACGGGTTCAGGAGAGGCGTATCAACTGAGGACGCTGTTCTTGAACTCACTAGCCAAATTGTTACGAACCTTGATTCTAAGACTAAAACTATAGGTGTATTTCTTGATTTAGCCAAAGCTTTCGACACGGTCTCTACTCCCATCCTACTACGTGGCTTAGAAAGCTTGGGAATACGAGGTATCACCCTAAGCCTCTTCCGTGATTACCTCACAAATCGTAGCCAGCGAGTTAAGGTAGACAACTACATCAGTGATGATATAAATCTAACATTTGGCGTCCCGCAGGGCAGCGTGCTGGGCCCCACCCTCTTTCTTCTGTTTGTAAATAGAATGTGTCAACTATCAATCCCACACTGCAAAATACTTGCCTATGCAGATGACACTGCGCTCATTATAAGTGGAGCAACATGGGAATCTGCTCACAACACAGCTGAAAACGCTCTGAGCGTTGTGATAGATTGGCTTTCAGTTAATTTACTTACGCTAAATGTCTCAAAAACTCACTATGTCCCCTTCTCAGCGAACTCTGCTACGCAGCCTAGTATGCCGGACATTAAAGCCCATAGTTGTCACCGCACACTGACCCCCTGCACCTGCCCTACTATACACAGAAGCTCTTGTGTAAAATACTTGGGAGTGCATATTGACAACACGTTGAGTTGGCAAAAGCATATCAGTGTTACAGTCACGCGGGTTCGTAAGCTCATGTTTCCTATGAAAAAACTAAGAAGTGTAGTTACCGACCAACTATTGAAAACTATATATTTTGCCTTGGCTCAGTCGCTTCTTACCTATTGTAATTCTGTCTGGGGTGGTTCACTTAAAACGTATTTACTTCGCCTTGAGAGAGCACAAAGAGCTGTCTTGAAAGTCATGCTTCACAAACCTTACTGGTACCCGACTACCCAACTTTATAAAGACGTATCTGTACTTACTGTCCGACAGCTCTGTGTACTTAATATCACTTTACGTACACACTCATCATTGACCTATGACCCAAGATTACTAGAGCAAAATAAACGACGTAAAGATCCTGTATGTCCATCTGTCGCCACCAAAACCGCTCTGGCAAGAAGAAGCTACCCATATCTTAGCAGCCACCTTTATAACGCAATAAACGATATTTGCAATGTATATGCCCTAACTAAATCTAAATGTAAAACTGTAGTGAGTGGTTTCCTCAAAAAGTTGACGTACGATGTGACTGAACAACTCATTGCAAATAAAATCACGAACGCATTTAAAAACAGACTTAAATCCCTTTAATATCTAGTGATACTGTGCTGTTGCATACTATTTCCGAAACACACAACTCTCACTCATCCGATCACAAACAATCACACATACACACACACACAAACGCACACACACACACACACACACACACACACACACACACACACACACACACACACACACACACACACACACACACACACACACACACACACACACACGCACACACACACACACACACACACACACACACACACACACACACACACACACACACACATTACTTGCTAATATTAGGGTAAACTATTTCATATCCGTAATTTTATTTTTTATTTTCTTATTGTTTTCAATACCTTAATTATACTAATTGTAAGAGGAGGGCGCCTGTGTCTGTAACACAGTTTATACTAGCACAGACACAGTCGTTAACTCTGTCTCAAAAATGCTTTGTACCTACTTAATAAATAGTGTACTTTTATATTACATTGAGACGGACAAATTGTACTTGGCTTTATGAAATAAAGATTTATTATTTATTATTATTATATTTCTTATAAAATTTTAGACCCTAACCAAACCGAGTGAATCAAACGCTAGTGCGATCTATTTCGACGCCAACGCCATCTAGTTGCATTTTTGGAAACTTTCGGCAAATTACAATATTAATTATTGGTCTTCAAAGTTTGGTCAGAAACAATGGTTAAGTTTGAATAAATTATTTTACGAGGTAAAACACAATGTTATTAGTAAGAAACATGAGCGAGATTAAAACAATTAAGCAATCATTTTCTCAGTATCATTACTTGTAGAAAGACAAGTGTTACAGTGAACAAGCCGTATTAAATGAAAGAAAAAAGAAAATCTCAAGTATCAGTATTGTACAATAACATGCTTCACTTCGTATTTATTTCTTTTTTAATTAAAAGAGAAAGCCGATCGTCTTTTTAATTGAGCTGTTGACCTAATTATTACATCGCCGTTTCCATTATAATATTTATAAAATGGAAATTAAACATTTTGCATTCGATTTTTCTTAAGCTTTTTTCTTGTTTACTGTTACTTACTTATTTTTCTTCATAACATTTTCTTTTCTTTCTAATTGGTCGATTCTACGACTCTATTCTTGAATTTCAATGGTTTTTGGATAAGTTATTTTTGGTCGAACACGGCTTTACGTATTCCGTCGACACAATAATAATATCAGATCTTATAGAACTTATAATCAAGATTTTAAATATCTCTTTTAGTATTAGAATATATTAGTATCTTTTATAAACGATAGGAGACAAGCGTATTACTTGATGGTATTTGATTTGCAACACCAAAAAAGTTACGAGTGATTTGCCCGCTTTTTGGGTTTTGGATATTTCAGGATTCTAGAGGGATGAAGTAAAGTGAAGAATTATGCCTCCGGTAACCTCACTCACACGGTGGAAGACGACGCTGTAATTGTTTCACGACAGTTTCTTATGAGGCCGTGGTATCACTCTGGTTGAGCAAACCCATTCGTGCCGAAGCGTGGTTCGTCCAAAGCTATTAAACTAATTAACTCTTCTTAAATGACACCAACAGTGTGT